TCGTGGTTTGGGGACATAAAAAGCGGAGTGAAACAGGAAAAGGGTCAAGGTCACGAAGGGAGCGAAGCAGTTACCGTGCACCTAGCTCAAGCGCCCGCCCACAAAACAAAATGCCTGGTTACCGTGTACGTAGACACTGAGGCTACGCGCCCGGTTGCTGGTTACCGTGTACGTAGATATTGAGGCTACACGCCCGGTTACCGTGCGTGTGACATTGAGACTACACACCCAGTTACCGTGTACGTAGACCCCGAGGCTACATACGCGCCAGGTTGCCGGTTACCGTGTACGTAGACACTGAGGCTAGCTTACGTGCCCGGTTACCGTGTACGTAGACCAGGAGGCTACGTGCCCGGTTACCGTGTACGTAGACCAGGAGGCTACGTGCCCGGTAACGGTGTACGTAGACACAGCATTTCAGTAGTACAATTTTAGGCAATTTTTGAAAAAAAAAATCCTTGATTCAAATTACTCAAATTTGTCTAATTTTCATTCAAATTGCATGAAAACCACACGAACACATTCACAATTCAATTCCTTTTATAAAAATATATACTTTATGATGGGGGTTCAATATTTAAATAACAGAGCTACAAGAGTTTTACTGAGGCTACCCCAGTTTGCTGGTCCATTTGCTGGAGCACGGGTAAAATGCCCAGTTCCTGGGGAGCAGCCCTCTGGAAGGGCCTTAGTCAACAATGGGTTAATGTACATCTGTGCCAAATTTGGTGCTTGTATCACAAAATGCACAATCCTTCTAAATTTTTGGGCTAAACCGCCCCACTATAAGAGTAAGAGTTGTAAAGTGGTCCAATACCTCCCAGTGTGCCAAGTCACACAAAAGAATATGTTGTTTCTTGTCTTTGCTACTCTTGAGTGGCTTCATCTTAATATGCTTACATATTAAAATTCAATATAGCTAATATTTTTTCCTCTCATAATATTGGCAAATTGTTTCTCTGGATGGATGGATGGGTGATGAATGTCATGAATACCACGCGAGATATCATTACCAGATGTTGGATTGATCAACAGCTGTTGCAGCTTGACAAGGAACGAGTTGTTTTATGGGGTTTGTGTGGTACATTTACATGCAGAGCCTATGTACCAACAAAAGAGTTTTACTTGAGGACTCTCAATAAAATCAATTAACATACAGCTGTTTCATCATTAGCTTATATTTTTGAAGGCAGCTGCTTTGTTCCAATTTGTGCTAGATTCAGAGGGTCAATGATTGCAGTAACTGAAATTGCATGTATAACTTCATTTTTATTTGTTCATTTTAAAGCGTCTTTTAGCCCTATATGTATACACTCATGATGTAAAGGTAAAGTACTAGTTGACATTTTCCTTCTTGAAATAGATTAAATCATATTTTGCATTTAAGATCATGTATTTGGGGGGGGGGGGGGGGGG